AGGACAGGCTGAGGGAGCTGGGGTTGTTCAGCCTGGAGAAGAGGAGGCTCCGGGGAGACCTAATAGCAGCCTTCCAGTACCTGAGGGGGGGCTACAGGAAGGCTGGGGAGAGCCTGTTTAGAAAGGCCTGCAGTGACAGGACGAGGGGCAATGGCTTCAAGCTGGAGGGGAACAGCTTTAGACTGGAGATGAGGAGAGGGTTCTTCACTGGGAGGGTGGTGGAGCACTGGGACAGGTTGCCCAGGGAGGTGGTGGAGGCCCCTTCCCTGGAGATATTCAAGGTGAGGCCTAGTGAGGCCTGATGAGGCCCTGGGCAACCTGGTCTAGTTGGGGGTGTCCCTGCTGACTGCGGGGGGGTGGGACTAGATGGCCTTTGGAGGTCCCTTCCGGCCTGGACAATTCTATGATTCTATGATCCTCTGCTTCCAGGAGGGAAAAAAAAACTCCTTTAAATCCTTTTTTTTTGTTTTTAAGGTGGGGTGTTCGAAGCACGAGGTGAGCAAACCCTGTCAAAGGACTGGTGGGGTGTTAATAACGAGCCTTATAATAATTAAATAGGGAGAAATCCACCGTATCCAGGTGCTGAGGTGAGAGGGAACAGGGGGTGATGCTCCAGCCCGGGATTGTTCATGGCCAGGAGAAAGGGTTAAACCCCCCCTTCTCCCCAGTTCAGGGATATGTAAATATTCCAAACAAATCTCACCACAAATCTATTAGAAAAGGTCACTCCATCAAGGAAAATGTGAATAAATACCCTGCCTGGAGTCCAAAAGAGCCAGTTGGACCGTGCCCTAGGAATGGGGAAAGGAAAGGAGCGGCAACGGCAAGAGCCCCTCACTGGGAGAAAAAACCATCTATATTAAAGAAAAAAAAATTAAAAATATATATAAATCCATGTTCTGACCCAGCAGTATCCAAGCACCGTGCCGTTCGTGGTGGCAGGGAGAGAGGAGAGGTTAAAAAGAGCCCTTTGCTGTCACGGATTGAATGTGAGGGTGTTTGGAGAACCTTGGAAAATGTTAAATAATCCATGAGCTCCGTGGAGATAAAGCCCCGGGGGCAGGACGGCACCCAGGGAGAGGGAATTATCACCCAGGGACTCCCTGGAAGGTCTTTGGGGTGGGGAAGGAGATGCAGAGATTATTTTATCCAAAACTTTTAGTTTTCAACACCCAGGAGGAAGCACGGAGCCAAATTCCAGGAGAGGATGCTCAGAGCAGGACGCTGCCTCGTTGAGGGGGGGTCCCAAAACCCCCTCATCCCCTGGGCTGTATCTCCCCAGATGTTCCTCTCTGAGGAGAACCCCCCTCAACCCTCAGTGCTGCCTCCAGCTCTGGGGCCACGGGAGACCCCACCAACCCAGTGCTGCCTCCAGCTCTGGGGCCACCACCAGCAGAAGGACATGGAGCTGTTGGATGGGGCCTCCCTGGAGATGCTGGGAGGGCTGGAGCCCCTCTGCTGGGAGGGGGGGCTGAGAGAGTTGGGGGGGTTCAGCCTGGAGAAGAGAAGGCTCCGGGGAGACCTTGGAGCCCTTTCCAGTCCCTCAAGGGGCTCCAGGAAAGCTGGATGCTCTTGATGAGGGACGGGAGCAATGGGACAAGGGGGAAGGGTTTTGAGCTGAAAAATGGGAGATTTAGGTGAAATAATTGGGAAGAACTTTATTTTGAGGGTGGTGAGAGCCTGGCCCAGGTTGTCCCGAGAAGCTGTGGCTGCCCCATCCCTGGAGGGGTTCAAGGGCAGGTTGGAGGGGGCTTGGAGCAACCTGGGCTGGTGGGAGGTGGCCCTGGATGGAACTAGATGATCTTCAAGGTCTCTTCCAACCCAAACCATTCCATGATTCCATGATTTGGGGACCCAAAGCCTTTGGGAAGAGCATCTGTGCACCAGGATGACCTTGGAGCAACCTGGGCTGGTGGGAGGTGGCCCTGAATGGAACTAGATGATCTTCAAGGTCCCTTCCAACCCAAACCATTCCATGATTCCATGACTCTCCAGCCATTGTATGTCCAGGGCAAATCCCACCAATCATGGAGCCTGTGGGTCACTCTTCAGCCCCAGCACAGTCATTGTACGTCCAGGGCAAACCCCACCGATCACGGAGCCTGTGGGTCACTCTTCAGCCCCAGCAGGGTGGCTCCAAACCATTAATTATAAAAAAGAAGGAACCAAAGCCATGAGAGCTCTTGGTTGTGCCCAAAGGTGTCGGGACACGGCTCTGTGGGGTATCTGTGGGTGCATTATTTCAGAGCTGAGGCCATCACACTCTTCAGGCATCACAGGAATGTGTTATCAACACCAATAAATACCCTGCTCCAGAGGATCTCCTTTGGGCACCCCATGGACACCACGTGTGGGACCCAAACCAGGACTTTTCCAGCTCCTGCTCCCTCTCTGGGAGAAGGAGGTTTCTCAGGAGGGTTTCCAGCTTGTGGTCCCTCAGCAGAGCATCCCATCAAGACAACTCAGCCCAAGTAACCTGCATCCCAAGAGGTTTATATTTAGGTGGCCAAGAGCAAGACCTGCTTTTGGATGAGTCTTCAACAGCTCTTGAGCAGCCCATGGCCCTCCCATGGCATTTTATGGGGCTTCTGCTGAGGTGCCCATCTCCAAACCATCAGTCAGGGCACGTCTATGCACGAACCCATGGGGAATAAACCCATCCTCGACATGAAGCGGGTCACCCCGCAGCCACCCTGTCCCAAAAAGGATCCCAAAAGTCACCAAAGACCATGGTGGCACCGTGGTTGGATCTCAGTGGTCCAGGTTCTCTGGAATTGCACCTCAAAGATCACCCAGGCTTGGGCAGAAGGTCTCCCCAACCACCATCAGCATCAGGGCTGCTCACCTGGACCCCACAGACACCAAAACCAAGTCCCTTATTTTACTGGGAGGCTCTGGAACGGGTTTCCTTCGAGTAAGAGCATCCCAAAGCCCAGACCAGAGGGACTGAAGGCACCAAGAACCGAGCACAAGAGGGTTTTCTTACTCCTCCGGCACCTTTGGCCACATCTCGGGGTAATAAAACATCAGATTTGGGTTCAGGATTCTCCAAAAGTTGGGTTGTCCTCAAGGGCTGCTGGGGATTATTTTCCACAAGCGTCCGGATCCGTCCAGGCTGTTTTATTTACATTCCATCCAGGGGATAAGGAAAAAAAAAAACCACCAAAAAAGCAAAACCAGCGTCAAAAGCCCAAAGGGGGGGGGAAACCGGGGCCATCTGCAAGGAATTGGAGCGTGTCGGGGTTGGGGGGGGAGGAATTTTATTTACAGGAGCGTTAATTACAATAAAACTACCGGGGGAAGAGCTGCACCCCGGGCACGGGAGGACACAGAGCTTATTCCCAAGCAGGAAAGTTAAAAAAACCCCTTTTAGCCTTATTTTTCTTGCTTAGAGACGTTCTTCACACAATCACAGAATGATTTGGGGTTGGAAGGGACCTCTGGAGATCACCCAGTCCCATCCCCGGCCAGAGAAAGTCCCACAGGATCAAATCCAGGTGGGGTTTGAATGTCTCCAGAGAAGGAGACCCCACCACCTCTCTGGGCAGCCTCTGCCAGGGCTCTGCCACCCTCAAAGTCAAGAAGCTCCTCCTCATGTTGAGAAGGAACTTCTCACATCCCAGTTTGTGCCCATTTCCTCTTGTCCTGTCCCTGGGCACCACTGGAAAAAGCCTGGCCCCATCCTCCTGACCCCCACCCTGGAAGGATTTCCAGGCCTTGAGCAGATCCCCCCTCAGCCTTCTCTTCTCCAGACTCCAAAGCCCCAAGTCCCTCAGCCTTTCCTCCCCAGAGAGATGCTCCAGGCCCCTCAGCATCCTCTTTGTAGCCCTTTGCTGGACCCTCTCCAGCACTTCCCTGTCCTTCTGGAACTGGGGAGCCCACAACTGGTCCCAGTGCTCCAGCTGGGGCCTCCCCAGGGCAGAGCAGAGGGGCAGGATGACCTCCCTTGAGGTTCTCCACGCTCTTCCTCATGCCCCACAGGATGCCATTGGCCTCCTTGGCCACCAGGGCCCATTGCTGGCTCCTGGGCATCCTTGTTGTCCCCCAGGACTCCCAGGTCTTTCTCCTCAGAGCTGCTCCCCAGCAGGTCACCCCCAACCTCTCCTGGTTTTGGGGGGTTCTTCCTCCCCAGGGGCAGCACCTGACACTTGTCCTGGTTGAACTTCATCAGGTTCCTCTCTCCCCAACTCTCCAACCTGCCCGGGTCTCTCTGGATGGTGGCACAGCCTTTCTGGGGTGTCACCCCCCCACCTCCCAGTTTGGTGTCACCAGCAAACTTGCTGAGGGGACATCCCATCCCTTCACCCAGGTCATCGATGAATATATTGAAGGGGACTGGACCCAACACTGACCCCTGGAAATGTCCACAGAGAGTCTGACCAAAGGCTGTTGGTTCCCTAAAAGTGGCTTTAACAGCTGCTAAAGGAATACATTTTCTATTAAAGTGGTGAAATGGGGCTTTGCTGAATCCTGATCCCGGTTCCTCGATGACCAGGAAGAGGGAGAACAGAGGATGGTGGCAACATGCGCCCCGGCACTCGGACCTTCTCCTCAAGAGGTCAAACTTCCCCAACGTCCACAGGCCAAGACCAACACAACCAGTTGGGACACTGGAATCCACCTCCTGGCCCGTAGATCAAGCTCCTGCCATTGGAGGATGCAGCTTTGCCCAGGAATTACCAGTATCTCACAGACTTGTGGACTGGTTTGGGTTGGAAGGGACCTTTAAAGGTCATCTTGGTGCACACACGCTCTTCCCAAAGACTTTGGGTCCCCAAATCATGGAATCGTGGAATGGTTTGGGTTGGAAGGGACCTTGAAGATCACCCAGTTCCATCCAGGGCCACCTCCCACCAGCCCAGGTTGCTCCAAGCCCCCTCCAACCTGCCCTTCAACCCCTCCAGGGATGGGGCAGCCACAGCTTCTCTGGGCAACCTGGGCCAGGCTCTCACCACCCTCCAAATAAACAAGTTCTTCCCAAAATCTAACCTCAATCTCTCCTTTTTCACCTTAAAACCCTCCCCCCTCGTTCTATGGCTCCCCTCCCTCATCAAGAGTCCCCCCCAGCTTTCCTGGAGCCCCTTGAGGGACATCATGAGAAGATCTCAACTCTTCACACCTCCTTAAAACAGGACTCCTCCATTCTGCTCCTCAACCTGGCAGCCCAGCCTGAGCTCCGGTATCCAAATCAAGCCAAAAATCAAAATAATTGACATTTTATCTCCTTCTCCCTCCCCAGGAAGCTGAAATAGGACCAGGGGTGGGATGTACAACCCCCCCTCCAACCCCTCCAGGGCAGACCCCGGCTGGGGAAATCGAGTTGCTGGAGTCCACGGGTGATAAAAAAATGAAATGTGGGGCACGAAGGGAGAACGTGAGGAAAACGCCGAAGCTTCTCCTGGAAAACAGACACCGATGGCTCCAGGAACCTCTTCCCATGAGCAAACCCATACTCAGCAGAAATAAAACCATTTAATTCTTCCTCTCAGAGGCAGGAGCCCGGCCAGGGTCAGGTTTGAGAGCGACCAGCCCCACCGCTTGCATCAGAGCTGGTTTTTTGGCTAAATAAAGGACTTTTCTGCCACTTTTGGAGGTGCTAATAAAAAGTCCTGGCTGGAGGGGAAGCCGGCCCCACCACTTGCATCAGAGCTAGTTTTTGGCTAAATAAAGGACTTTTCTGCCACTTTTGGAGGTGCTAATAAAAAGTCCTGGCTGGAGGGGAAGCCCCCAGGCTCCACCAGCCGCCCCCCCGGCTGTAGCTTCTAATACTAAAGGTATGGAGGGAGGAAGAAACAAAATCCCATCTGGTTTTGGGGTGGACCAAGAAGGGCAGCAGAAGCAAACCCAATGAGAGCAGGAGCTGAAGGTCTTCCAGAGAAACTCCATTGGGAGAACGGGCCCCGCTCCTCCTCCAACCAAAGGGACCTCACAGACAGGGTGAAACCTCCTCCCAAACCCCCAAAATGTCCTGATTTGGGGTTTCCCACCTGGCAGAGCACGGGGAAGCTCCAGACCCGAGGCGTTGGGCACCTACCTCCTCCTCGCGCTCATATCCACCGGCTCATCGTTGATGTTCTCCTTCCCCGGCCTCCCTGCAGTCCTGCCATCCCCATGGGGCCTGAGGCTCCCGTTCAGCTTCTCCTCGTAGACCTTCACGCCGTCCTGTTTCACCGGGAGCTCGTGGGGCACCTCGATGCCCGAGAGGTCTTTCCTCTTCAGCAGTGCCAACATCTTCAGGCGCTCCATGGCTTCGTGTCCTTCCATTTTCAACCTCTTGGCCAGGACGTCATCCCGATCGTCCGCTTGGTCCAAGCTCCGCTTCAAGAGGTTCAGGCGCAGGGCATCTTCCGTCATTCTGTCCATCCTGAGGTGGACACAAGGACACAATCAGCATTTGGGGCGAACAGAAAACAGGGGTGAACCCCCCCAACCTCTCCCTAGAAATGGTGGGGACCTCCAAGCCCAGGTTCCCCCCACCGCTGCGGCGTGTGGAGACCTGGGGGCTTTTCCTCCCCATCCCAAACCCACCAGGCAGGGAGTTTCCTGAGCAGAAGGAACCAGAGGAACCCCATGAGCAAGAGCACCCCAAAACCCTTTGAGAACAGGGTTGTGGGGGGCACAATCCCTCCTTCAACATCCAAACCCCCCCCGGCTGCCCTTATTGGAAGGGGGAGCTGGGAAAGGCTCGAGTCGTCCGGGGACACGACGAGGACGGATTATTTCTTCTCAAACTACACATTTCCAGCCTTAATTTTTATAAATCTTCACCCACAGGCTTCGTGCCACTTGATTTTTAATTTTTGAGGGGGCTCGACGCACGGTTTGAGCCCCCTGCCCTCAGGAGGAACCCCACGACGCCCCGAGTTTGGCAGCAAGATTCCAAAATACCAAAAATCCCCTTCCACACGTGTTTTTTTTTGTTGTTTTGGGGTTTGGTTTTTTTTCTGCTCTCTCGGGTGAGGAACCTTCTCCCTCCTTCTCCCAACCTCTCCCTGGAAATGGTGGGGACCTCCAAGCCCAGGTTCCCCCCACCGCTGCGGCGTGTGGAGACCTGGGGGCTTTTCCCCCCCATCCCAAACCCACCAGGCAGGGAGTTTCCTGAGCAGAAGGAACCACAGGAACCCCATGGGTGAGAGCACCCCAAAACCCTTTGAGAACAGGGTTGTGGGGGGCACAATCCCTCCTTCAACATCCAAACCCCCCCCCGGCTGCCCTTATTGGAAGGGGGAGCTGGGAAACGCTCGAGTCGTCCAGGGACACGACGAGGACGGATTATTTCTTCTCAAACTACACGTGCTCAGCCTTAATTTTTATAAATCTTCACCCACTGCCTTCATGCCATTTATTTTTAATTTTTGAGGGGGCTCGATGCACGGTTTGAGCCCCCTGCCCTCAGGAGGAACCCCACGACGCCCCGAGTTTGGCAGCAAGATTCCAAAATACCAAAAATCCCCTTCCACACGTGGTTTTTTTTTTGTTGTTTTGGGGTTTTTTTTTGTTTGTTTTCTGCTCTCTCGGGTGAGGAACCTTCTCCCTCCAAGGACGAAGGCACAGACAAGAGCATCTCCACCCACGCTGGCTCCTCGTCTTCCCCGACCGACTCTCCTCCAGGTGCAAAAAAGCCCCGGGGCAAACAGATGCAGTGGAAAAAAAAAAAAAAATGAAATATAAATAAAAGTAGGGGGAAGGAGCCACCACGGAGCCCATCCCAACCCCAGCCCTCTGCTCCCAGGCTGATAAGAAACTACCTACACCAACACAAATCCAAACCAGAAGCCCAGGGAGCTGCTCCACCTGAGAACAAGGCGAGACCAGCTCGGTGAGGTCTCTACGATGACAAACAAGGAGGGAATAAATCAGAATTTAAAACCTGGATGAGTCAAAACCGTCGATAAGTTCTTTTTTGTTTTGCCCCGAGATGAAAGACGAGGCCGAAGCGGCCGCTTCTTGGGTATCTCCAGCTTCAGGTGGAGCTTCCCAAACCTCCTCAGGAGATAAAGCTTCTCCAAACCCAACTTCTGCCAGGAAAAAATGTTCTCCTGGCTCAGTTCTAAATCCTCACTAATTACCCATCTCCCAAAGCCCAGCTGGCACCCAAAGTTCAGCTGCAGCATCGATAGGGTTTTTGAGGGGAGGAGAGAAGGAGAGAGAAGGAGAGAGAGAGGATTCACCCTGGAGAATCCTTCCTTTTCCATAAAATGGGTGCAGCGGCGGCAGAAAAACAAATGCAAATGGGCAAAGCAAGAGGAAAAAAAAAGAAAAAAAAGAGTCCGAGGAAGCCTCCAGCGCAGCCCGAGCTCAAAGAGGTTGCCACGTCCAAGGTGAGCACCTCAAAAGTTCTTTCTACTTGATGGTCTGGTCTCTCTGCAGGAAAACGCACGTCTTCGGCAACCAAATATAGAAAGGCAAGTGTGGGCAAGCCCAGGGAGACACCGAAACGCCGCTTTCTGCCCCCAAGAAGTGACCCCCCGGGGGTTAAACGGGAGCCGCCGAGCGGCGGTGGGTGATTTGAGACCCACCTGGAGAGCCAGGAACCTCACCCGGCTCCAGGAAAGCGCCGAGCTCCAATTAACTGGGCCATGAAAGGGCCTCCCCGGCTGCTTCCTCCACTTGGTGCTCCTGGGAGATGAAAGGAGAAGGAGGAGGAGGAGGAGGAAGAGGAGGAGAAGGAGGAGGGAGAAGGCCAGGTACCTCAGACAAAGGCTGAGACACGGGGAGGGAGCACAGACACTTCCCAACCAGCTGGTGGCTTCAGTGTTCGCTGGAGGACACGGTGAGGAAGCCTCCTCAGATAGTGGTACCCACCCCACGGCGCGGCCAAGTCATCCCATGGGTCCTTCCCTACCAGGAAACTGCTTCATCCCCATCAAATAACCTCCACTAAACTGAATATATCGCTTAAACCACCCCCCCAAAACACCCCCCACCCACCATAGGAGAGGTGGTGGCACCTCAACTGGTAATTCCAAGTTAGGTCTTGGAACTCCAAGCCCTGCTTCACCCACGGGAAAGCGCCGAGCTCCAATTAACTGGGCCATGAAAGGGCCTCCCCGGCTGCTTCCTCCACTTGGTGCTCCTGGGAGATGAAAGGAGAAGGAGGAGGAGGAGGAGGAAGAGGAGGAGAAGGAGGAGGGAGAAGGCCAGGTACCTCAGACAAAGGCTGAGACCTGGAAATGGTGGGGACCTCCAAGCCCAGGTTCCCCCCACCGCTGCGGCGTGTGGAGACCTGGGGGCTTTTCCCCCCCATCCCAAACCCACCAGGCAGGGAGTTTCCTGAGCAGAAGGAACCACAGGAACCCCATGAGCAAGAGCACCCCAAAACCCTTTGAGAACAGGGTTGTGGGGGGCACAATCCCTCCTTCAACATCCAAACCCCCCCCGGCTGCCCTTATTGGAAGGGGGAGCTGGGAAAGGCTCGAGTCGTCCAGGGACACGACGAGGACGGATTATTTCTTCTCAAACTACACATTTCCAGCCTTAATTTTTATAAATCTTCACCCACTGCCTTCATGCCATTTATTTTTAATTTTTGAGGGGGCTCGACGCACGGTTTGAGCCCCCTGCCCTCAGGAGGAACCCCACGACGCCCCGAGTTTGGCAGCAGGATTCCAAAATACCAAAAATCCCCTTCCACACGTGGTTTTTTTTTTGTTGTTTTGGGGTTTTTTTTGTTTGTTTTCTGCTCTCTCGGGTGAGGAACCTTCTCCCTCCAAGGACGAAGGCACAGACAAGAGCATCTCCACCCACGCTGGCTCCTCGTCTTCCCCGACCGACTCTCCTCCAGGTGCAAAAAAGCCCCGGGGCAAACAGATGCAGTGGAAAAAAAAAAAAAAATGAAATATAAATAAAAGTAGGGGGAAGGAGCCACCACGGAGCCCATCCCAACCCCAGCCCTCTGCTCCCAGGCTGATAAGAAACTACCTACACCAACACAAATCCAAACCAGAAGCCCAGGGAGCTGCTCCACCTGAGAACAAGGCGAGACCAGCTCGGTGAGGTCTCTACGATGACAAACAAGGAGGGAATAAATCAGAATTTAAAACCTGGATGAGTCAAAACCGTCGATAAGTTCTTTTTTGTTTTGCCCCGAGATGAAAGACGAGGCCGAAGCGGCCGCTTCTTGGGTATCTCCAGCTTCAGGTGGAGCTTCCCAAACCTCCTCAGGAGATAAAGCTTCTCCAAACCCAACTTCTGCCAGGAAAAAATGTTCTCCTGGCTCAGTTCTAAATCCTCACTAATTACCCATCTCCCAAAGCCCAGCTGGCACCCAAAGTTCAGCTGCAGCATCGATAGGGTTTTTGAGGGGAGGAGAGAAGGAGAGAGAAGGAGAGAGAGAGGATTCTCTCACCCTGGAGAATCCTTCCTTTTCCATAAAATGGGTGCAGCAGCGGCAGAAAAACAAATGCAAATGGGCAAAGCAAGAGGAAAAAAAAAGAAAAAAAAGAGTCCGAGGAAGCCTCCAGCGCAGCCCGAGCTCAAAGAGGTTGCCACGTCCAAGGTGAGCACCTCAAAAGTTCTTTCTACTTGATGGTCTGGTCTCTCTGCAGGAAAACGCACGTCTTCGGCAACCAAATATAGAAAGGCAAGTGTGGGCAAGCCCAGGGAGACACCGAAACGCCGCTTTCTGCCCCCAAGAAGTGACCCCCCGGGGGTTAAACGGGAGCCGCCGAGCGGCGGTGGGTGATTTGAGACCCACCTGGAGAGCCAGGAACCTCACCCGGCTCCAGGAAAGCGCCGAGCTCCAATTAACTGGGCCATGAAAGGGCCTCCCCGGCTGCTTCCTCCACTTGGTGCTCCTGGGAGATGAAAGGAGAAGGAGGAGGAGGAGGAGGAAGAGGAGGAGAAGGAGGAGGGAGAAGGCCAGGTACCTCAGACAAAGGCTGAGACACGGGGAGGGAGCACAGACACTTCCCAACCAGCTGGTGGCTTCAGTGTTCGCTGGAGGACACGGTGAGGAAGCCTCCTCAGATAGTGGAGAAGGCCAGGTACCTCAGACAAAGGCTGAGGCACGGGGAGGGAGCAGAGGCACTTCCCAACCAGCCGGTGGCTTCAGCGTTCGCTGGAGGACACGGTGAGGAAGCCTCCTCAGATAGTGGTACCCACCCCACGGCGCGGCCAAGTCATCCCATGGGTCCTTCCCTACCAGGAAACCGCTTCATCCCCATCAAACAACCTCCAAGTCGATACCTAAACTGAATATATCGCTTAAACCACCCCCCCAAAACACCCCCCACCCAACACAGGAGAGGTGGTGGCACCTCGACTGGTGATTCCACCGAGTTAGGTCTTGGAAGTCCAAGCCCTGCTTCACCCACGTGACTTCATCCCCATCAAACGACCTCCACTAAACTGAATATATCGCTT